TGGTATATCTGAAATTAAATAAATTATTGGGCAATGTAAATTTTTCTTGGGTGGTCTCTATTTGTTGCTTGGATCTTTTCTTTTCTAATAATTTTTAAACTTTGAAGCTCTATCAATAGAGAGATCAAGCCTAGAAACTCAAATGCAAAAAAAAAAAAAAGATTTATTTCTTTAAGGATTGACGAAATAAATAAACGAAGAGAAAGGTGGGTGAGTCTACAACGAGAAGGAAATCAAGCATAAACGATACCTCAAGCATTAGATCTTGTCTTTTTTTTTTGTTTTTCTTTTTTTATCTCAGTTGTATCTTGTAATTGCACCAAATCAAAAATTTTTCTTTAGTTTGTGTTTGTACTCCGAATCGACCTGCAAAGCCCCGAGGTGGGTTATCGGAATAGACACTCCAATGTTTAAGTCAGCAATAATCAGGATTACCTTTAGAGTGGAGGTAAAAGGAACTTAAGGTTGGTTTCAATTACCTTTATGACGTGGCTCTTGGAGGGCATTTATAGGCTCCTGTGAACCCACGTGGCATGCCAAGCAAGATAATTGGAACTTGACGTGTCTATCCGACGGTTATTTCAGGACAAAAAATTTGAGAGATATTCAGATGCAAGGGTGTCCATCATAACTGTAGTGCAACTCATCATAAAGAATCAGGTGCGGGCATGCTTATTATCGCTGTCATGCAGCTGTTTGAGCGGGAAGTTTTGGATTTATCCTTCACTTCAGTCATAAAAAAATTACTGTCGTACGTCCGAATCTGGGCACATCGGACCTACCTTTACATATCTGGATTTCTAGTCTTCCGTGCTTGAGAAGTTTGGAAATTTAACTAAGTTTCCAAGCCCAAATGCCTTGACATTTTTGTAAGTTTTCATAGAAAAATCACTGACTAAGAATAATTAAATATCAAGATTATCTCAAAATAGATTTTGATGAATTTAGGGTGAGTTTGAATCTAACTTCTGTGCTGGTTCTGGAAAGGCTAGATAAGCGCATTCGGAGGAGAGAAAAAAGTGAGAAGTCCGAGATAGGGGTAGAGGATGAAGAAGGGCCGTGAGTGGGTCATTAAGTTAACAAGTATAGTCGGTTTTCGATAAGTTGTTAAAACCATTAACTACGTGGCAAATTATGGTGGCGAGTTACAAAAAGAGAGTGCTAAGGGGATTGCGCCTAGCACTACTCGTATCTAATATATTTTCCCGAATTTTGTGTTCTATAAATGTCCAAAAAAGTTTCCGGACAGACATTAACTTGAGTAGACAGCTGTGGGTCCACGAGATAGGGACATTGGTATCTGACGCATTATCTGATTTATCTCCTCTTGCAGCCTTTCGTCTCTCCTATGGTCCCTTTTACTAATTTTCTTTCCGGAGAAAGATTGTGATCCCAAAAATGATCTTTCGGGAGGCAAAAAGCACATGCATTGCGGTGCGGTTGCCTGCCCATGATTAAGGATGGCAATTTTATCCGCGACCTGCGGAGCTTCACGGAGATTCCCGTCACGGGGATGGAGATTCTCAGAATATTTTTACCCGTGGGACGGGGATGGAGGTAATTTTTTATCCGTGAAATTTCGCGGGAAATTTTCTCTACTCCGTGGGGAACCGTGGGGATCCATATAAAATAAAAAAAAATATAAATTTATTTATATATATATTTTTTGTACATA